ATAGATAGATAGATAGATAGATAGATAGATAGATAGATAGATTCTTACTTTGTCGTTGGTGTTTGCCAATTTAATTTTTTTAAAAAAGGGGGGTGTCCCAGCTGGTTTGGCTCAGTGGATGGAGCATCAGCCTGCAGACTGAAGGGTCCCAGGTTTGATTCCGGCCAGGGACACATGCCTGGGTTTCAGGCTTGACCCCCAGCATGGGGCGTGCAGGAAGCAGCCAATGAATGATTCTCTCTCATCATTGATGTTTTTGTCTTTGTCTCTCCCTCTCCCTTCCTCTCTATAAAAATCAATAAAATATATTAAAAAAAAAAAAAAAAGGAAGGAGATTCTGCACTAGCCAGTTTGGCTCAGTAGAAAGAATCGGGAGGCAACCAATTGATATGTTTCTCTCCCATAGATGTTTCTCTCTCCCTCTCCCCCTCCCTTTCACACTCTCTAAAAAACCAATAGAAAAATATCCTGGGTGAGGATTACACACACACACACACACACACACACACACACACACATTATGCTGAGGGAAAGAAGCCCAAAGGACAAATATTGCATGCTCCCACTTCTACTTTTTGTTTGTTTGTTTGTTTGTTTGCCCTGCGTATAGGGTATTTTTTTCTGACCCACAGTTTTCTCTTAAAAAAAAAAAAATTCTAATCTATTTGGGTTAAAAGAATAAATATCATATATTCATATATCCAGGGCAAACCCCACTTCTACTTTAATTTCTTTTTACTTTATTGATTTCAGAGAGGAAGGAAGAGGGAGAAAGGAAGAGAGAGAGAAGCATCAATGATGAGAGAGAATCATTGATCGGCTGCCTTCCTGCATGCCCCCTCTTGGGGATGGAGCCCACAAGCTGGGCATGTGCCCTGACCGGGCCTCACATTGCCACCTCTTGGTTCATAGGTTGGCACTCAACCACTGAGCCACACCGGCCGGATTCTGCTTTCAGTTCCCTGAAGTATCTAGAGTAAGGTGACCAGATTTTAACATTGGTAAAGCGGGACACCATTAAACAACGACAGCAATCTACTAAAAAAATTCACTCAAATGAGAAATATGCCAAAGAATAAAATAATACTATACATAAATTTTTATTTATTTATTTTTACTTATTTTTTTTAAATATATATTTTATTGATTTTGTACAGAGAGGAAGGGAGAGAGATAGAGAGTTAGAAACATCAATGAGAGAGCGTCCTCCATCAGCTGCCTTTTGCACACCTCCTACTGGGGATGTGCCTGCAACCAAGGTACATGCCCTTGACCGGAATCTAACCTGGGACCCTTGAGTCTGCAGACCGACGCTCTATCCACTGAGCCACACCAGTTTTGGCTCGGGACTTTTTAAAAATGTCGTGGGACAAATGGTTAAAAATTCGGACTGTCCCGCCAAAAGCGGGAAGTCTGGTCACCTTAGGACAGAGAGTCAGAAACATCGATGAGAGAGAAACATCGGTCAGCTGCCTCCCGCACACCCCGCACTGGGGATGTGCCCGCAACCAAGGCCCATGCCCTTGACCGGAATCGAACCTGGGACCCTTGAGTCTGCAGGCTGACTATCCGGTCAGGGCGGGATTCAGTGTTTGAGGAGGACAGAGTCTGGGCGGAAATTCCGGGCGTTTTCACGTGGTTGTTGGGTCCCAGGTATTTTCCTTCACTACAAGGAGCGCCTTCAAGTGGTGGTGCCCCGAGGGCAAGCACAGCAGCCTCCTTCCCCCAGCATCGCTGCAGGCTGGGCTGCCCCGCCCCGCCCGGCCTGCCTGCCCCGCCTCGCCCTGCCCTGCCCTGCCCTGCCCTGCCCGCCAGCCAGCCGGGGAGGTGGGCCTAGGCGTGTCCAGCTCCACGTGGAGAGACTGTATCAGCCCTTCCTCCCCGGCTTCCTCTAACTCACAGACTGCGGCCAGGAGTGCCACCCCTCAGCCTGCAGTCAGGGGGGTAAGTCCGGGGGCCTGGCCCTCCTCGGGCGGAGTCAGGGCTGAGGGCTCAGAGACATCCCGGGGGCCTGGGCGGTCGGCCTGCAGCGCGATGGATGCTCAGCCCGGCTTCATTCCCTTCCCGGAGGAAAGCAGGAGCTGGGAGCCGTGTGTGCCAGAGGAGGGGTGGAGGGGGGCGGTGGGGGAGGTCGGATGCATGTCCACAGGCCCCCAGGCCAGAGTTTTTTTTGGTTTTGATTTTTAAAAAATATATTTTATTGATTTTTCACATACAGGAAGAGAGAGGGACAGAGAGTTAGAAACATCGATGAGCATCATCTATCCGCTGCCTCTTGCAAACTCCCTACTGGGGATGTGTCCGCAACCAAGGTACATGCCCTTGACCGGAATCGAACGCGGGACCTTTCAGTTGGCAGGCTGAGGCTCTATCCACTGAGCCACACCGGTTAGGGCTAATTATTACTTTTAAATATATTTTTATTGATCTCAGAGAGGAAGAGAGAGAAAAGAGAGAGAGAAACATCCATGAGGAGAGAGCATCATGGTGGATGGGCTGCCTTCTGCAAGTTCCCCTCTGGGGATCGAACCCACAACCCGGGCATGTGCCCTTGACTGGAATCGACCTGGGACCCTTCCTACCCCAGACGGATGCACTATCCAGTCGGCCACACCAGCCAGGGCAGAAATTCTTTTGTTGTAGCTGTTCCTTCCGGGAGGTGTAGCCTGGAGACATCCCCTGCCCCAGGGATGGGAAACGGTCCTGTCTTTCTGGTCTGGAATGGAGAAGAGCCCTCCCTGCCCCACTTCCTCCCTCCCTCCTCCTTTCCCTTTCTCCTCCCTGCAGGCCACTGGGTGGCGGTTCTGGTTGGTGCTTCCTGTGGGCGGGGCTGGACTCTCTCCCTGCCTAGCCCTTCAGTGTTCACCTTGGCTCCAAATTCCAAGTCCATTTCACTTTTTTTTTTTTTATAATATATATTTTATTGATTTTGTACAGAGAGGAAGGGAGAGAGATAGAGAGTCAGAAACATCGATGAGAGAGAGTCATCGATCAGCTGCCTCTTGCACACCCCCTACTGGGGATGTGTCCGCAACCAAGGTACATGCCCTTGACTGGAATCGAACCCGGGACCTTTCAGTCCACAGGCCGACGCTCTATCCACTGAGCCAAACCGGTCCCGGCTCACTTTTTTTTTTTTTTTTTAAATAAATCTTTATTGTTCATATTATTACAAATGTTCCTCATTTTTACCCCCCTCCATTGCTCCCCACCCCAGGTTCCCACCCCACCCTCTGTCCTTTGCCCACCCCCCATTATCCTCATCCATAGGTGTACAGTTTATGTTCAGGCTCTTCCCGCTCCCCAACTCCCCTTTTCCCCCTGAGAATCATCAGTCCACTCCCCTTCCATACCTCTGATTCTATTATATTCACCAGTTAATATTGGTCATCAGGTTTTTTAATTCCCTTGGCTTTTAGATTCACCTGTTGATAATTACGTATTTGTTGTTCATAATTTTTATCTTTTCTTTATTTTTCTTTATTTCCTCTTCCTAAAGAACCCCTTTCAGCAATTCATATAATTCTGGTTTGAAAATGAAAACAAAAACGCCCTAGCTGGTTTGCCTCCCTGGTTGGAGAAACATCCATCGGCTGCCTCCTGCACACCCCCTACCAGGGATGTGCCTGCAACCAACGTACATGCCCCTGACCGGGATCGAACCCGGGACCCTTTAGTCCGCAGCACGACACTCTATCCACTGAGCCAAACTGGTCCTGGCTCATCATTGATGTTTCTGTCTCTCTCTATCCCTCTCCTTTGCCCTCTAAAATCAATAAAAACAATTTTTAAAAAATTAAGATCAGGCCGAAACCAGTTTGGCTCAGTGGTAGAGCGTCGGCCTGCGGACTGAAGGGTCTCAGGTTCGTTTCCGGTCAAGGGCATGTACCTTGGTTGCGGGCACATCCCCAGTAGGTGTGCAGGAGGCAGTGGATCGATGTTTCTCTCTCATCGACGTTTCTAGCTCTCTATCTCTCTCCCTTCCTCTCTGTAAAAAATCAATAAAATATATTAAAAAAATTAAGATCAGATCTGAAAAAACAATTAAAAAAAAACCAACAACAGAAAGCTATCAGGTTTCAGGCAGAGAAACCGGTGGCCCATGAGCTCCCTTATCTCGCAGGCGAGGACAGGGAGGACATGATGACGGAGAGATTTCCCTGTTTGGCGGAGGAAGGGAGGACAGAGCGAGGTCTGGGCGGCCTCGGGCGACTGAGGCGCCCTCACCCACGGAGCCAGGCCGGCTAGGCCGGGGGACATTCTTATTTTATTGTATTTAAGTTCTCATCGAAGGATATTTTCTTCCATTGATTTGTAGGGAAAAGTGGAAGGAGAGAGCGAGAGAGAGAAACAGCCTGCGAGAGAGACACATCGATTGGTCGCCTCCTGGGCCAGGGATTGAACCTGCAAACAAGGTAGGTGACCTTGCCTGAGGCCCGTGGGTCCGCAGGCGGACCCTCTGACCGCCCAGCCACATTGCCAGCTGGGCTGGGGGACGTTGTTATTTTATTTTATTTAAATTCTCACCAAAGGATATTTTCTCCCATTGATTTGTAAGGAAAAAGTGGAAGGGAGGAGAAGGAGGGAGGAAGAGAGAGAGAGAGAGAGAGAGAGAGAGAGAGAGAGAGAGAGAGAGAGAGAGAGAGAGAGATGCGCCATGGTCAGCAAACTGCGGCTCACGAGCCACATGTGGCTCTTTGGCCCCTTGAGTGTGGCTCTTCCACAAAATACCACGGCCTGGGCGAGTCTATTTTGAAGAAGTGGCGTTAGAAGTTTAAGAAATTTGGCTCTCCAAAGAAATTTCAATCATTGTCCTGTTGAGAGAAAGAGAGAGAGAGAAACAGCCTGTGAGAGAGAGACATTGATTGGTCGCCTCCCAGGCCAGGGATTGAGCCTGCAAACAAGGTAGGTGCCCTTGACCACTGAGCCATACGGCCGGCCTGACGGCTTCCTGCCTCGTTTCCCTGCAGATCCCCGCCTCGGACTCAGCTCCACCCGAGATGACGCGGTGCGAAGCCCTCGCCCGGTTTGGCCAGAAGCTGGTGCGCAGGCGGCCCCTGGAGTGGAAGGAGGGGTCCGGAGGCGGCCTGGCCCGGTGCCTGAGCACCCTGGACCTGGTGGCCCTGGGGGTGGGCAGCACCCTGGGGGCGGGCGTGTACGTCCTGGCCGGGGAGGTGGCCAGGGACCAGGCGGGCCCGGCCATCGTGCTGTGCTTCCTGGTGGCCGCCGTGACCTCCGTGCTGTCCGGGCTGTGCTACGCCGAGTTTGGGGCCCGGGTGCCCTGCTCGGGGTCCGCCTACCTCTACAGCTACGTCACCGTGGGGCAGCTGTGCGCCTTCGTCACCGGCTGGAACCTCATCCTCTCCTATGTCATCGGTGAGAGCTGGGCTGCCGGGGGCACCACGGGACGGGGGCTGGGGTCTGCGTCCTCAGTCATGAGCATGTTGGGGCCCAGCTTGTGGGGAGGGAGGGTAACGGTGAGGAACTCTCCCACACGGTTGCCCTGGCCAGTGTGGCTCGGTGGCTAGAGCTTCGGCCTGCGGACTGAGGGGTCCCAGGTTCGATTCCGGTCAGGGGCATGTACCTCGGTTGCAGGTACATCCCCAGTGGGGGGTGGGCGGGAGGCAGCTGATGGATGCTTCTCTCTCATCAATGTTTCTCACTCTCTAGCCCTCTCTCTTCCTCTCTGTAAAATCAACAAAACCGACACTAACAAAAAGAGAGGTATGCAAATTGACCATGCATTGGTGGTGCCCACCAGCCAATCAGGAGTTGACATGCAAATCAACCCAACAAAGATAGCGGGTAATTTGCATACACAGGAGCTGAGCAGCGGGTGGGGCGGGACTCGTGTATGAGAGGGAGGGCAGTGGTGGGGTGGAGGGAGATACAGGAGCGGCGCTCCAGCCGGGAGCAGGGATTCACAGGCTCCCGGGCGGCCTGGAGCAAAGCCAGGGGAAGGAAGGTCTATTTTTTTTTTTTTTTAATATATTTTATTGAGTTTTTACAGAGAGGAAGAGATAGGGATAGAGAATTAGAAACATCGATGAGAGAGAGTCATCGATCAGCTGCCTCTTGCACATCTCCCACTGGGGATGCGCCCTCAACCAAGGCACATACCCTTGACCGGAATCGAACCCGGACCTTTCAGTCTGCAGGCTGATGCTCTATCCACTGAGCCAAACCGGTTTTGGCATTCACTCTCACTCTTGAACCCTTTGTGGTCCAGCTTGTGAGGGGCGGTGGGTAACGGGGAGGAAAAAACCCACAGTGTTGCCCTACTAGTCACGGTCAGCAAACTGCGGCTTGCGAGCCACATGCGGCTCTTTGGCCCCTTGAGCGTGGCTCTTCCTGGGCAAGTCTATTTTGAAGAAGAGGCGTTAGAAGTTTAAGAAATTTGGCTCTCCAAAGAATTTTCAATCATTGTCCTGTTGATATTTGGCTCGGTTGACCAGTGAGTTTGCCGACCACTAGCCAGTGGCTAGAGCTTCGGCCTGAGGACTGAAGGGTCCCGGGTTTGATTCTGGCCGAGGGGATGTACCTCAGGTGCAGGCTCCTTCCCCCCTAGGCAGGAGGCAGCTGATGGATGCTTCTCTCCCATCGATGTTTCTCACTCTCTATCCCTCTCCCTTCCTCTCTGTAAAATCTACAAAATATATTATAGAACAACACAACCAGGAAGCAGTGGGAGGGCAGGCACCAGGGAAGGGTCCCCATGGGTGAGAGACGTGGCCCAAGGCTCATGTCTCTCCAAGGTGCGGGCTCTGCTCAGCTGCTGCTGGCTTCAGGAGGCCCCCCGACCACCTGATGTAACTTTTTTTTTAAAATTATATTTTATTGATTTTATATAGAGAGGAAGAAAGAGAGATAGAGAGTTAGAAACATCGATGAGATGAGAGAGAGTCATCGATCAGCTGCCTCTTGCACACCCCCTACTGGGGATATGCCCGCAACCAGGGTACATGCCCTTGACCGGAATCGAACCCGGGACCTTTCAGTCCCCAAGCCGACGCTCTACCCATTGAGCCAAACCGGTCCCGGCCTGATGTAACTTTTTAAAAATATATATATTTTATTGATTTTTTTACAGCGAGGAAGGGAGAGAGATAGAGAGTTAGAAACATCCATGAGAGAGAAAGATTAATCAGCTGCCTCCTGCACACCCCCTACTGGGTATGTGCCTGCAGCCAAGGTACATGCCCTTGACCGGAATTGAACCTGGGACCCTTCAGTCCACAGGCTGACTGTATTCACTGAGCCAAATTGGTTAGGGCTGACGTAACATTTCTTTTTCTTTTTAAATATATATTTTATTGATTCTTTACAGAGAGGAAGGGAGAGAGATAGAGAGCCAGAAACGTTGATGAGAGAGAAACATCGACCAGCCGCCTCCTGCACACCCCCTACCGGGGATGTGCCCGCAGCCAATGTACATGTCCTTGACCAGAATCGAACCTGGGACCTTTCAGTCCGCAGACCGACGCTCTAACACTGAGCCAACCCGGTTTCGGCTGACTTAACATTTCTTTTTTTTTTTTTTTTTTTTTTTAAATATATTTTATTGATTTTGTACAGAGAGGAAGGGAGAGAGATAGAGAGCTAGAAACATCGATGAGAGAGAGAGTCATCGACCAGCTGCCTCTTGCACACCCCCCACTGGGGATATGCCCGCAACCAAGGTACATGCCCTTGACCGGAATCGAACCCGGGACCTTTCAGTCCCCAAGCCGACGCTCTATCCATTGAGCCAAATCGGTCTCGGCGACTTAACATTTCTTTAAAAAAAAAAAAAAATATATATATATATATATATATATATATTTTATTGCTTTCAGAAAGGAAGGGAGAGGGAGAGACAGAAACAACAATGATGAGAGAGAAGCATTGATCGGCTGCCTCCTGCACGTTCCACACTGGGGATCAAGCCCAAAACCCGGGCATGTGCCTTACCTGAGAATTGCACTATGATCTCCTGGTTCAGAGGTCGATGTTCCACCACTGAGCCACACCAGCTGGGTCACCTCCCAGCCCTCCAGGGGTCTACTCCCCTCTTTTCTTTTTTTTGCAAAATGCACACTCTAACAAATCGCATAGTTCACCTGAAACCATTGTGTCTCCTCTCCCCACCCCATGGGGAGGCGGGGTCCTAGGCCTGGGAGCTCCGTTGATTAGAGAGTTATTCTCATCCTCCAAGGTTGCTGGTTTGAGGTCTCTCTCTCTCTCTCTCTCTCTTTCTTCCTCCCTCCCTCTCCCTTTCCTCTCTCTAAAATAACAAATTAAAAAATATTTTTAAAAAGGGGGGAAGCAGAAGTGAAACCCTTTGAGATGGCTCTTGTCTGTTTCCCCACAAACCTGTGCCCTGGCGCCCGGCAGGGGGCGGGTCACTGGGAGTGAACCTGCCTCCTTCGGCCACAGGGAGCGCCAGTGTGGCCCGGGCCTGGAGCGCCACCATCGACAGCCTGACCGGGCAGCACATGTCGCGGGCGCTGCAGGAGAGCGTGCCCCTGCGTGTGCCCCTCCTGGCCAGCTCCCTGGACTTCTTCGCGCTGGGCCTGGTGCTGCTGCTCACGGGTGAGGCGGCGGGGCCGGGGTGGGATGGGGATGGGGCATTGTGGGGGGAGCAGCTGGGGCGGGGGAGGCTTGTCTGGGGGGTGATGGGGTGGAGGGATGTGAGGCCAGAAAAGGGGATTTCCCGTGGGAGAAGCAGGAAGGCAGGATGTAGACATTGTTCCCACCCTCAGAACTCATTTTGAGTTGGACCTTTTATTTTATTTATTTTTATTTTTTTTAATTTTTTTTTTTTTAATATATATATATTTTATTGAATTTTTTACAGAGAGGAAGGGAGAGAGATAGAGAGCTGGAAACATGAAATGAGACAGAAACATCGACCAGCTGCCTCCTGCACACCCTCTACCAGGGATGTGCCTGCAAGCAAGGCACATGCCCTTGACCAGAATTGAACCTGGGACCCTTCAGTCCTCAGGCTGATGCTCTATCCACTGAGCCAAACTCATTTTGGCTAGACCTTTTTTTAAAAAAAAAATATATATATATATATATATTTTATTGATTTTTACAGAGAGGAAGTGAGAGAGACAGAGAGCTAGAAACGTCGATGAGACCAGCTGCCTCTTGCACGCCCCCTACTGAGGATTGAGCCCACAACCTAAGCATGTGCCCCTGAGTGGAATCGAACCCAGGATCCCTTAGTCCACAAGGCTGATACTCTATCCACTGAGCCAAACTGGCCAGGGCTGTAGGATTTCATTTTTTAAAAAAATATATTTTTCATTGATTTTTTTTTTTTTTTTTTTTTTTACAGAGAGGAAGGGAGGATAGTTAGAAATATCGATCAGCTGCCTCCTGCACACCCCCTACTGGGGATGTGCCACAACCAAGGTCCATGCCCTTGACCAGAATCGAACCCGGACCCTTCAGTCTGCAGGCCGACGCCCTATCCACTGAGCCACACCGGTCAGGGCACAGTTCCAGCACCGTTTCATCGCCTCCAGGGGAAACCTGCACCATTGAGCAGCCCCCGCCCTGCCCCTGGGGACCACTCTCAGCCTGCTGTCTAGATTTCCGTTCCATCTCCCCCCAGGTGTCCTGGTCTTGGGAGCCCGGGAGTCGGCGCTGGTGACCAAGATATTCACGGGCGTGAACCTCCTGGTGCTCGGCTTCATCATCCTCTCCGGCTTCATCACGGGGCGCCTGCACCACTGGCAGCTCACGGAGCAGGACTATGAGCTGATCCAGTCCGAGTCCAACGGCACCGTGAGGTCCGGAGGGCTCTTTATTTTTAAAAATATTTTATTGTTTTTTTATAGAGAGGAAGGGAGAGGGATAGAGAGCTGGAAACATCGATGAGAGAGAAGCATCGATCAGCTGCCTCCTGCACACCCCCTACTGGGGATGTGCCCGCAACCAAGACACATGCCCCTGACCGGAATCGAACCCGGGACCCTTCAGTCCTCAGACCGACGCTCTATCCACTGAGCCACACCTGTTTCGGCAATTTCTTTTTATTAAGTATATTTCTTTTATTGGTTATTTGCAGAAAGGAAGGGAGAGGGAGAGGGAGAGAGAAACATCCATGATGAGAGAGAATCAATAATCGCTGCCTCCTGCACGCCCCACACTGGTGATTGAGCCCCATAACCCGGGCATGGGCCCTTGACCAGGAATTGAACCTTGACCTCTTGGCTCATAGGTCAATGCTCAACCAGTGAGCCACACCGGCCGGGGGGAGGGCACTCTGGGCCACAGACGGGTGTGGAGTGCGGAGCTGGGAATGCGGAGCCGGGAATGGGGGGAGGCAGGTGCGGCGGATGGGCTGGGGGTGGGGTGGGGATGGACCAGGGCTGCGGTCCCCGGAGATGCTGAGCTGCTCACCCTCCTCCCCTGCCTCCTCTCCCCACAGCCTGGGCCCGCTGGGCGCCGGGGGGTTCGTGCCTTTTGGCTTCCAGGGGGTTCTCCGCGGGGCAGCCACCTGCTTCTACGCCTTCGTGGGTTTCGACTGCATCGCCACCGCAGGTGCCGGGGCCGGCCGCCCAGGGTGTGGGTCACCCTGGGGCTGTGGGGGGCAGGCGGGGGGGGGGCACGGGGCTGGTGGAGGGGGGCACGGGGCTGGGGGGGGGCACGGGGCTGGTGGAGGAGGGCACGGGGCTGGTGGAGGGGGGCACGGGGCCGGTGGAGGGGGGCACGGGGCTGGTGGAGGGGGCACGGGGCTGGTGGAGGGGGCAGGGCTGGTGGGGGGGCACGGGGCTGGTGGAGGGGGCACAGGGCTGGTGGAGGGGGGCAGGGCTGGTGGAGGGGTGCACAGGGCTGGTGGAGGGGGGCAGGGCTGGTGGAGGGGACACGGGGCTGGTGGAGGGGGGCACGGGGCTGGTGGAGGGGGGCAGGGCTGGTGGAGGGGGCACGGGGCTGGTGGAGGGGGCACGGGGGCTGGTGGAGGGGGGCAGGGCTGGTGGGGGGGCACGGGGCTGGTGGAGGGGGGCAGGGCTGATGGAGGGGGGCACAGGGCTGGTGGAGGGGGCACGGGGCCGGTGGGGGGACACGGGGCTGGTGGGGGGACACGGGGCTGGTGGGGGGGCACGGGGCTGGTGGGGGGGCACGGGGCTGGTGCGGGGCACGGGGCTGGTGGGGGGACACGGGGCTGTTGGGGGGGCACGGGGCTGTTGGGGGGGCACGGGGCTGGTGGGGGGTACGGGGCCGGTGGGGGACGGCCCCGGGGAGTCTCCCGGGAAGAGGGTCTGTGCCCCCTCGCGTGTGTCCCTGACCCCGCCCTCCCGCCCGCAGGGGAAGAGGCCCTGGACCCCCAGCGCGCCATCCCACTGGGCACCGTGGCCTCGCTCTCCGTCTGCTTCCTCGCGTACTGCGGGGTGTCGGCCGCCCTCACCCTCATGGTGCCCTACTTCCAGCTCAGCCCCCGCAGCCCCCTGCCGGACGCCTTCCTGCACGTGGGCTGGCCCTGGGCCCGCTACCTGGTGGCCGCCGGCACCCTCTGCGCCCTCTCGTCCAGGTCAGTGCCAGCGGCTGCCCCGCCCGCTCCCCGGCTCCCGCCCTCAGCCGCCCCCGCCCGGGGGGGGGGGGGACAGAGGGAGACACACCGGACACACCGGGAAGATTGGAGATGCCCGAGCCCGGGGGTGGGCAAACTCATTAGTCAGCAGAGCCACATGTCAACATTTGTCAACGACTGACATTTCTTTTTTTTTTTTTTTTTAATATATTTTATTGATTTTGTACAGAGAGGAAGGGAGAGAGATAGAGAGTTAGAAACAGCGATGAGAGTCATCAATCAGCTGCCTCTTGCACACCCCCTACTGGTGATATGCCCGCAACCAAGGTACATGCCCTTGACCGGAATCGAACCTGGGACCCTTCAGTCCCCAAGCCGACGCTCTATCCATTGAGCCAAACCGGTTTCGGCCTGACATTTCTTTTGAAAGCCAATTGTTTTAAACTTAAACTATTCAGGTAAGTACATTGTTATTAACTAGAGGCCCAGTGTGCGAAATTCATGCAAGGAGGGGTACAGGGGAGGGTGTTCCTCAGCCCAGCCTGCACCCTCTCCAATCTGGGATCCCTCCAGGGATGTCCGACTGCCTGGTGGGATAGTGTCTAAACAGGCAGACATCCCTCATCCCTCTCACAATCCAGGACTGTTGGCTCCCAACTGCTCGCCTGCCTGCCAACCTTATCACCCCCTAACCACTCCCCTGCCAGCCTGATTGATGTCTAACATCTCCCCTGACAGCCTGTTTGCCCCCACCTTCCCTCCTCTGCTGACCTGGTCACCCCTAACTGCCCTCCCCTGCAGGCTTGATCGCCTCCAGCTGCCCTCCCTTGCAGGCCTGGTGCCTCTCAACTGCCCTCCCCTGCTGGCCATCTTGTGGTGGCCATCTTGTATCCACACGGGGGCAGGATCTTTGACCCCATGGGGGCAGCCATCTTGTGTGTTGGAGTGATGGTCAATCTGCATATTACTCTTTTATTAGGTAGGATTAGGGGACTCCTAAGCCGGCCTCTGCTAAAAACTCAAGGGGCCAAAGAGCCGCATGTGGCTCGTGAGCCACAGTTTGCCGAGCACTGCCCCGGCCTTCGTGGCTCCGTGGCTAGGGCGTCCGCCTGCGGACTCAGGCTCCCGGATTCGGTTCTGGTCAAGGGCATGTGCCTTGGTTGCAGGTTCGATCCCCAGTCTTGTTCAGGGCAGGGGCGGGAGGCAGTCCATCGATGTGTCTCTCTCATGTGGATGTTTCTCTCTCGGTCTCTCTCCTTCCCTTCCACTCCCACAAAAACTCAATGGAAAAATACCCTCAGGTGGGGATGAATGACAGAAAACTCAATGGAAAAATACCCTCAGATGGGGATGGGCCAGACACGGGCAACCCAGGCCTGCCTGCCGGTGATCGCCACACACATGTCTCCCCTCCCTCCGCCAGCCTGCTGGGCGCCATGTTCCCCATGCCCCGGGTGATCCTGGCCATGGCGGAGGACGGACTCCTGTTCAGGGCACTGGCCCGGATCCACCCCCGGACTCACACCCCCATCGTGGCCACCGTAGTGTCTGGGATCCTTGCAGGTGAATAAGCCAAACTCACCCCGTTGCCATCCAACTCCCTCCGCTGGGATGTCCTCATGGGTCCTCACCCACTCCCTTCCCCCCACCCCCATGTCTGCCTGCTCCCCTCCCCAATCCACCCCGTGTCTGCCCCCTCCGTGCAGCCCTCATGGCCTTCCTCTTCGAGCTCAACAACCTGGTGGACCTCATGTCCATCGGGACCCTGCTGGCCTACTCCCTGGTGGCCTTCTCCGTGCTGGTTCTCAGGTGAGGCCCCGCGAGGTTTATTTTTATTTCTTTGTATAGATTTCAGAGAGGAAGGGAGGGGAGGCAGAGACAGAAACACCCCATCCTGAGAGAGAATCTCGGATCGGCTGCCTCCTGCACGCCCCCACTGGGCACCAAGCCCACAATCTGGGCCTGTGCCCTGACTGGGGATCGAACCGGGAACCTCCTGGTTCTTAGGTCATCCACGCTCAACCACGTGAGCCACCCGGGCTTCGGCTCCTGAGGAAGAGACAGACGGAGACAGACAGACATCGTGGTTGCCTCCCATATGCACCCCGACTGGGGACGACCCCACCCCCAGCTGGGCCCGCGCCCTGACCACGCATGGCACCGGGGGTCTCGGCTGCCCTGGAGGATGCTCGCCCAGCGGAGCCCCCCGTGCCCAGGGCTCGCACCCGGTTCCCTGATGGGGGAGCTGCTCCCCTCTTGCCTCCGAGCGGCCCCCTCGGGTGCTGCCCCGCGGGCGGGAAGGGCCGTGTGATGGGGAGGCGGGGGCCTGTGAAGGCGGCGGGCCTGTCTCCCCAGGTACCAGCCGGACCAGCACCCGAGCGAGAAGGAGAAGCCGGGGGCGGAGATGACGGAGCTGCAGCGCGGGCCGGGCGCCGGCTCCCGGGGGCCGGAGCCGGGGGCGGGCGCCCTGCGAGGCCTGTGGAGCCCCGGGAGCGCCGGCCCCACCCCGCGGTCCGGCCGCGCCGCCTACAGCTGCGCCCTGGCGCTGGGTGAGCGGCGGCTGTGGGGCCGGAGGGGCCGGAGGAGGAGGGGGCGCGGGTGCCTGCGGGGGGGGGGGGGTCCTGGACAGATGAGGGCCCATCTCTTCGTTCCTGATGTCATCCCATGGGTTTTTATTTCATTTTTATTTATTTATTTTTAAAAAAATATATTTTATTGATTTTTCACAGAGAGGAAGAGAGAGGGATAGAGTTAGAAACGTCGATGAGAGAGAAACATCGACCAACTGCCCCTTGCACACCCCCTACTGGGGATGTGCCCGCAACCAAGGTACATGCCCTTGACCGGAATCGAACCCGGGACCTTTCAGTCCGCAGGCCGACGCTCTATCCACTGAGCCAAACCGGTCCCGGCTTATTTTATTTTTTTAAATATATTTTTATTGCCCTGACCGGTTTGGCTCAGTGGATAGAGCATCAGCCTGCAGACTCAAGGGTCCCAGGTTCGATTCCGGTTAAGGGCATGGACCTGGGTTGGGGGCACATCCCCAGTGGGGGGTGTGCAGGAGGCAGCTGATCGATGACTCTCTCTCATCAATGTTTCTTTCTTTCTTTTTTTAAAATATATTTTATTTATTTTACACAGAGAAGAATTGAGAGGGATAGAGAGCTAGAAAAATCGATGGGAGAGAAACATCGACCAGCTGCCTCCTGCACACCCCCCACCGGGGATGTGCCCGCAACCAACATACATGCCCTTGACCGGAATCGAACCTGGGACCTTTCAGTCCACAGGCTGACGCTCTAGCCACTGGGCCACACCGGTCAGGGCATCCCATTGATGTTTGGAGAGAGTGGACCTGAGGGTGGGGGTGGGGGGAGAAACACTGACGTGAGGGAAACACATAGACCCGATGCCTCCCATGTGAGGGGTCGAACCTGTCGCCCGGGTGCATGTCCCTGAATCGAACCCGTGACCCTGAGATGCAGGGCCGGTGCTCTAACCACTGAGCCGCCCGGGCCGGGCCCGAAGGCCCAGGTGGACGTGGGCGGTTTGAGGTGGGATGTGACCTGAGCCCTTGACACCTTTGGCCTCTGAACTTGACCTGCTCTCCCCCCGCCCGCCCGCCCCGGCAGCCATGCTGCTGGCCGCCCTGAGCCTGGTCCTGGCCCAGTGGCCCGGCCGCCTGGCCGCCGGGGACCCCCTGGCCGCCGCCGTGACGGGGCTGCTGCTGCTGCTGGCGCTGGGCCTCACGGCCGTGCTCTGGAGGCAGCCCCAGAGCCCCGCTGCTCTGCGCTTCAAGGTGGGTAACCGGGACCCCGGGGGGGGGTCCGCCGCCTCGCTGGACGGGGAGGCAGGGGGAGGGCGGCATGAAGGGACCAGAGCAACATAGAGGGATGGACGGGAACAGGCCAGAGACCAGGAGCCAGGGGGTCAGGGGGAGAGATCAACCAAAGGACTTGTGTGCACACCTAGGAGCCTAACCAGGGTCAAGGACAACAGGGGGGTGAGGACATGAGTGTGGGGGTGGGGGTGGGGGATGGGAATGGGGTATTGAGGACAAATATGGGATACCTTAATCAATAGAGAAATTTAAAAAACAATAAAGGCCAAAACCGGTTTGGCTCAGTGGATAGAGCGTCGGCCTTCGGACTGAAAGGTCCCAGGTTCGATTCCGGTCAAGGGCATGTACCTTGGTTGCAGGCACATCCCCCGTAGGGGGTGTGCAGGAGGCAGCTGGTCGATGTCTCTCTCTCATCGATGTTTCTAGCTCTCTCTCCCTGTCTCTTCCTCTCTGTAAAATATCAATAAAATATATATATATATTTTTAAAAAACACACAATAAGATTGGTACCCATGGTCCTTAAGACTCTTCAGATACATTATCAATGAAACAGACTTTAATGATTAAGCTAAGAACTTAAACAACAGGGACAGGATTTTGTAACTTATGAAACAAATAACAACCAGAAGTTGTTTATGAACTAAAATCCTATTCAAACACAGGACTATAAAATAAAATAAAAAATAGAATAGAACAGAATAGGATGAATGGACCATTCTGACCCACACTCCATCAGGGGCATGCGCTGGGAGACCCCCTGTCTGCCAGGCGTGGGGGGCGTGGCCTGACGGGACCGGGCTCCCCCCCCCCCAGGGACGGGGTCTCCCTCCGGGCGCTCAGGGGGACCTTCGCCCCAGGTGCCCTTGCTGCCCGCGCTGCCCCTCGCCAGCATCTTCGTGAACCTGTACCTGATGCTGCAGATGCCCGCCCGCACCTGGGCCCAGTTCGGCGTCTGGATGGCGATGGGTACGTGGCCTCTGGGGGGCGGGGGGGACCCCACCTTCTCCCTCCCCCTCCCCCCAGCCGGCCCCGGAGCCCCCCCCTCACTGCCGAGTCCCCCAGGCGCCGCCATCTACTTCGGCTACGGGATCCGGAGCAGCGCGGAGGCCGCCCCCGCGCAGACCCGGCTCTAAGGACCAGGACCCCCGGCCCCGAGCATCTCCTGCCCCCGGGCCCGGCCTCCCCGGGGGTGAGGGGGCGCCCCGGGGCCTCTCTGAGGGGTGAGGGGGCGCCCCGGGGCCCCGGTTCCGTGTCCCCGTGGAGAGGCGGAGACGCGCGCAGAGCGCACAGGGTGCGGGGCGCAGGGACGCGCTCTCACCACGCGGGGCGGACAGGGAGCCCCCATCCCAGCAACCAGAAGAGGAAATGAACTTCCAGAGAGAGCGGGTGGCTCCATGGGAAGAAAAGTCCTGTTTCAACTCTGTGGTGTCCACAGTGCACACTTTTTTTGGGTAATTTTTCATTAAAAAAATGTTTTTTCTCCATTACAGCTGACTTTCAGTCCTCTGTTCGTTTCAGATAGTCAGCGCCGCGGTGAGATGTCTGTGTAATGTATGAAGTGCTCCCCCTGACACTGTCATATTTATTAGAATACGGACTGCGTGCCTGTGTGGCACATAAATCCTGTGACTGCTTTGTAGTACCAGTCTGTACCCCTCACCCTCCACCCTTGTTACCCAGCGGTCCCCTGTCACACTCCCATCAGGGGCATGCGCTGGGAGACCCTGCGCATCTGGCCATGATCGGTTTGTTCTCTGTGTCTGTGTCTGTTTTGCCCATTTGGTTATTTTGGTTTTTCAGGGGCCGCATATATAAGCGAGATCTTGTGGTGCTTGTCTTTCTCTGTCTGACTGACTTGACTTCGCAATAACACCCTCTAGGTCCATCCAATGTAGTGGGAACATTATTTGGGTCAAAGAGTTGCCCTTGAAATATTGGGACACAAAAAAGTTGGAAATAAAAGGAAGGAGGAAAAAAAAATGGATCATACAAACAGTAACATAGTGCCCTGACCGGTGTGGCTCAGTTGGTTGGAGTGCTGGTCTAGACCAGTGGTCGGCAAAGTCATTAGTCCAAAGAGCCAAACGTCAACAGGACAGCGATTGAAATTTCTTTGGAGAGCCACGTTTTTTAAACTTAAACTTTTTCTAACGCCACATCTTCAACATAGACTCGCTCAAGCCGAAACCGGTGTGGCTCAGTGGATAGAGCGTCGGCCTGTGAACTCAAGGGTCCCGGGTTCGATTCCGGTCAAGGGCATGTACCTTGGTTGCGGGCACATCCACAGTAGGGGGCGTGCAAGAGGCAGCTGACTGATGTTTCCCTCTCATCCCTCTCCCTTCCTCTGTGTAAAAAAACCAAATAGACTCGCTCAGGCCGTGGTGTTTTGTGGAAGAGCCACACTCAAGGGGCCAAAGAGCCACATGTGGCTCTGAGAGCCGCAGTTTGCTGACCACAGATCTTGTAGACCAAAAGGTGGCAAGTTTGATAACCGGTCAGGGCAGGTGTGGGAAGCAATTGATGTTTTTCTGCCCCTGTTCGTCATCTCTAATACCAGTTAAAAATGTAAATAGATCTGCCGAAACCAGTTTGGCTCAATGGATAGAGCGTCAGCTTGGGGACTGAAAGGTCCCGGGTTCAGATTCCGGTCAAGGGCATGTACCTTGGTTGCGGGCATGTCCCCAGTAGGGGGTGTGCAAGAGGCAGCTGATCGATGACTGTCTTCGATGTTTCTAACTCTGTATCTCTCTCCCTTCCTCTCTGTACAAAATCAATAAAATATATTAAAATAAATAAATAAATAAAAATATATAAATAGATCTGGCATAACTGTATTGATATCGGACAAGGTAGGCTTTCATTTCATACTGTTAGAGATAAATGATCATGTTTACTTCCCCCCAACTTTATTGAGATAAAATTGACACATAGCATCGCGTCACTGACCATTTTCCAGACCCCCTTTTTTTTAGTTCATATTTTTATGTTGTTAATCCTCACTGAGGATATTTTTCCCAGGGGGAGAGAGAAACCATAGATGTGGGGGATAATTGCCTCCTGCACTTGCCCCCACCTGGACCCGGGTGCCAACCTGAAACCCAGGTGCATGCCCTTGACTGGGAATAGACCCCTGGGCAGCTAGATGCTCTCTGGCCACTGACCACATCGGCTACTTTTAATTTTTTGGTTGATTAGAGAGGGAGAGGGAGAGAGAAACATTAATGTGAGAGGGAAACGGCGGTCATCTGCTCCTTGTATGCACACCGGCCAGGGCTGCCGCAGATTCAGTGACAACCCAGTGGGCAGGAGCTCTTCGCTGGAAAATAGCGGTGCCAGAGGCAGGGGTGGGGCGTGAGAAGTGGGGAGCTTGTGACTGGTGACAGTTTTGGGTGGAGCTAGATGTTAAACTGGAAAGACCGAGAGGATGATGTCACTGCAGAACAGAAGCCTGACATGAAGGTTTATGGGCGTTGAAGGTGGTGAGAAAGCAGAGGATTAGTGTGGGAACAAAACACTGCGGTAGAGAGAAGGATGGAAGGATGGACCCCTTGGAGGGATGAGGATCCAGAAAGGGAGTCGCAGGGTTGTTAGGTGGACTTAAAGGAGTGGGACTAACAGAGGAAGGGGCCCTGATGAAATGACAGGGTTAGAAAACGGTAACTAAAGGGGAATGAATCTTCAGGCGACCGTTTGATGGGAAAGGGCGATCACCGGATTCCGATTCTTAGCAGTCCATGTGGAACAGCTCCAAGGCGCTGTAGCAGGCCACGCAGAACACTGCCCATAAAACACTTTGTGTTGAATCACGATCAAGTAATGGGCTCATAGAAGACAAGGGACAGTTACTTGACACAAAACCACAATCTGTCAAACCTACAGTGTGGGTGGGTGATTCAGCAAAAAGAATGGTGTGCTTCCTGTAACAAACCAGTGTGGATAATGGCAGCCTAAATAGTTACTAAAAACAAGGGACAAGACCTACTATGTGCAGCCTCTACATAAAAACAAGTTAAGCCGAAACTGGTTTGGCTCAGTGGATAGAGCGTCGGCCTGCGGACTGAAAGGTCCCGGGTTCGATTCTGGTCAAGGGCACGTACCTTGGTTGCGGGCACATCCCCAGTTGGTGTGCAAGAGGCAGCTGGTCGATGTATCTCTCTCATCGATATTTCTAACTCTCTATCCCTCTCAATTCCTCTCTGTGTAAAAATCAATAAAATACATATATATATAAAAAAAAAAGTTAAAAAAGCAGAGCCAGGCTGGCGGGGTTCTGTGACTCAGTGGTTATGTGTCAACCTATGAACGGGGAGGTTGTGGTTCAATTCGCTATGCCTGGGTTGTGGCATCAATCCTCAGTAGAGGGTGTGCAGGAGGCAGCTGGTCCAGGATTCTCAATGTTTCTATATCTCTCCCTCTCCTTTCTCTCCCTTTCTGAAATTATATATATTTAAGAGAAAGGATGGCCCTAGCTGGTTTGGCTCAGTGGGTAGAGTGTCGGCCTGCAGACTGAAGGGTTCTGGGTTCGATACTGGTCAAGGGCATGTACCTCCCTTGCAGGCTCCATCCCCGGCCCTGGTCCAGGCGACCGTGGGATGCAACAATGGATGTCTTTCTCACATCGATGTTTGTCTCTCCCTGCCCCCCTCTTTCTAAAAATCAATGGAAGCATGTTCTCAGGAGAGGATCAGCAAGAACAAGAAAACAAAAAGGAATCCAGAGCCGAACAGGAAGTTTTGTGTGAAACCTGGGTCCCCCCCAAGGCCATGCTTGTGGCACCTCTGCCTGCCCGTCCCCTCATTCTCCCTCCCAACCGTCTCAGGCTCCTTTGACTTGGGTGTTGCTCCTTAGCCCGAGTCCTGAGTGATGTCCACCTGCCACTCAGGCAGCGGCCCTTGCCCGTGTCCAGAGGCCTGCCTGGCACTGCCCGTGTCTGCACAGCTTCCTCTTATCTCTGTGACTCCCACATCCCGCCTCCCTCCGCACACTCCGTTCCCCCGTGGCTCTCCTCCCTCTCCCGACAGGAACTTTCCAATTCCTTCTCCTCGCCCCCCTCCCACCCGTGTATGGAGCGCCACCGCCAGAATCGGGAGGGGCCTTCTGCCGCCACTGGCCCGGGGTCCACAGGAGCGAGGACTGGGGAAGATGGGAGAGCCCAGGAGGCCCTTAGGGGACTGGTGCGGAGTCCAGACAGGTGGTCCTGGCAGCGTTTCCTGTTATGTTCCCTCTTTCCAAAGGACACAGATCCCCAACCCAACCCCAGCACCCGGTGCATGGCCCAGGGACTAACTGGCTTTCATTGAAATGGGACCCTGACCCTGATGTACACCACATGGGAGCCCTGGGACACGGGACAAATTGTTAAAAATCGGGACTGTCCCCCCAAAAGCGGGACATCTGGTCATCTTAATCTAGGGACGTGGAGGTTTGCCCTGTACTTCCTGGATGGGAAAGGAAGTTGAACACAATTTCATGTACTTACTGGTGACCTGGTGATCTTCTCTTGTTCCATAGTTATTTATTACTTTTTTTTATGAAAAGTAAAAATATTTGATGAGAGCGAGAGAAACACTGATCTGTTGGTCTGTAACAGGCAGTTAGACAGACGTGAGCACACCAAGGAAGATGGGCCAGGAACAGGTCACTGATGGGGAAAGCCCCAGGGGCCCAGCAAAGGACATGGTGGGGTGGGACCTTGCCCCCAGGGCCACTGCTGGTCGAGCTAGAGATGACCTCCAGGCCTCAGTTGTATTTCAGCCCCGGCTGAGGTCAGGACCAGCCGCATGGAATGATGACCCGCTGCCCGATGCCGACCAGTCAATCAGCGGGGGCCGCAACCCTGAACGGACACACCTGGAAAGCTGAAGTCTATTGCGATCTTCTGGGCCCACCCCCAACATCTCCACGTAACACCCTGCAGATGGAGGACTCCGTGTGCTCTCCCTCCAGGTGTGCTCCCCTCCCTGGAGCCTGCGCCTTCCCCTTCCCTTCCTCCCTCCCCAGCTCCAAGGGCCCTTCCTTTACCCCCATAACACCTTTCCTCAGCCCATTTCTTTCCTGCCTCTTTGCCTGACCAAACAAATGCTCCCTTACAGTTTGGGTCCTGGTTCTGAATTCCTTCCTACCGAGAACCCAA